AGAAAACAGATATACTTTGCACCATAAAAACATTACACTTTATACTAGAAACAATTGCTGCATTCAATGGCAGAAGCAATGCCAAATCTGAAATTGATCAATTTTCACATTAGCACGAGGAGTAAGAGTCCATTACATGTTAGTTTGCCAGTGCGTTAATCCTGAATGCGAATTCGTTTAACCCACGTGTTATGTATTAGGCCTAATCCACCGGGCAAATAAACCCACAAGGGTAACAGAAAATTCAGGCACTATTATTGATCACATTTATACCAATCTATCAGCCAATGTGACTTGTGTTAAAGTACCAAAAATTGATCTTAGTGACCACTATCCTACTTTTTTGACAAGAAAGGTTAAATGCAACAGAAATAAAAAAATGCACACAAACGATCACTTACAGATCATTCCAAATGTTTAATGAAAAACAATTCCTCAGTGACCCATATAAAATTCCATGGAATATGATCCAAAATTTGGATGATATAGATGTAGCTCTGAGAGTGTGGACTGGCTTATTTATGATGTAGTCTCTAAGCATGTACTACTTAAACTACATCGAGCAAAGAATAAAATCCAACATAATTCGCTTACTACTAAAATCCTAGACGCTATGAAAACACGAGACCAATTCAAAACTATGGGAAACCATGCATGATATAAAGTATTGAACAATAAAGTAACAAAGTAACAAGCACGATTAAAAAAAGCTAAAATAAAAAAATAGTATCAATCATTAATTGGGAAAAAAGAGCAACAAAGACATTTGGACAGTCTTCAATAAACCTACTGGAGGAACACACAAAGATCGGATATATAAAATTCACTCACTTCTGATGAATTACACCATAGTCACTGATGACAATGACATTGCAAGTGTATTCAATTATATTTTCACATATATTACCACTCATGTCATATTTAATCAAACACTTACTGTTACATGCTAATAACTCAGGCTTTAGACAGAAACATACATGTGAGACTGCCTTGATCTTCCTAACTGAAAACTGGATTCAAGCACTTGATCAAGGGAAAATACTAGGATCTGTATTTGTAGATGTTAGGAATGCTTTTGACATGGTGGATCATGAAATCCTTTTGAAGAAACGGAAAATCTGTCAATGTGATGAAAGCATAATTTTATGGTTTACTTAATACTTAAATGAGAGATCACAACATGTTTATATAAATAATGTTCTGTCTGAATTTTCAACAGTTAAATGTGGAGTACCAAAAATTTCAATTTTAGTTCCATTACTATTTAATTTATTTATTAATGACCTACTATATATATATACTAAGGGACCCAATATCATTTACAGATCTATATGCAGATGACACAACAGTGTCAGACATCCAAAACTAAAAATTATTACTTACCTCAGTACAGAGAAAACAACAAAACTTGATAGTGACGAACTATGTCTTATGTTGACACGTTTTCGGAACAAATTATGTATTTGGTAACTTGTAAATCCACGTGGAATAGCAATAACCATCATTTTTATATTTCTCGCTAGATGTGGCTGTTAAAAGTTATCGGTATGTGTTTAAAATGTACGTAGGATTGTTTTGGAATGATCTGCACTCAGCAAAATTGAACGTTTTAAAGAGCGAGTCACGCCATACCCAATTAATGTCCATCAGTATCAAGACAGATGTGTGTGTGTGTGTGATTTATAGAACTAGAGTATCAAGTGTATGAAAAAGCATCCAAAATAATGGCACGGCTAACACACTAGAATACACGAATTCTACACGGCTAACACACTAGTTTACAACACTCACCCACCCTTAATAAAGAAGAACCTATGTTTATCACTTTCTGCAGTATAGATATAAAATACTAATTGTAATCTCACTCTAGTGTTATAGGTGCTGTAGTTTTGATATAGCTACCACCAATTGAAGATCCTTTAAATTCAACGGTAGGATTATGACTTTTTAACGGCACACATGTTTGTGCAATGGTGTAAACTTTGTAGAATAATTTTTGTAGAGATAATTTTTCAGGACATTCTGCTGTACAAATTGGTAAATAGGACTTACTGTCTGTGAATATAATCCAAAATGTTATCCTAAGAATATAAACATAAGTCATATCATTAAATAGTTCTATAAGAATCCAGGTTTGATTTCCGACGACGTACAAACATGGACGGTAATGACGTCAGATGTGGTCCAATGTACGAACAACAATAATTTCTCACTTGAATCACAGTCTTTGTTTCAGAATAATTCCATAATAAACTTCCATTAATATCTTTCAGAATTTTTTTTAGATAAGTCAACTTGTTGAGTTTCCAGGGGAATAAATTGTTAAATCCAAAAATCAGACAAAGAACAAACAATCTTGGCAACAAATTAAAAATAATACACCTTGTACCTTCAATGTGTTGAATGACTCTCCCGAAAACATATTAGGATTGCGTATTTAGAACCCCAATGCCTCATTTGAATTCATATAGTCTCTTACTACACAATTTTTGTCACGTCCACATGTTTGAACCCACTTAAAATCAATCATAAAAAAGTTGTTTACCAGCAGTGATCACGCAAAGAAAGTATGCTGGTGATACTGACCAATCATTTTAACTTCCTGTTGACACCATTAACAGGGTAATGCGGACTCAATGATAAGTCTAACGTATTACATCTTTGTCTTGAATAGACAAAGTTTGTGATAAAAATATATCACACTACTAAAAATAGAATCCCAAATTCGAGAAAAGTCTTCATTGTAATTAAATACAATGAAACAAAAATAATTTTAAACCTTACGCACAAGCAATTTAATCACATATACGTAACAATCGATGTAAGTTTATAATTACTCATTTCATATACATAATTCAATTTTTCTTTTAGTTTAGAAATAATCGTGCAAGTTATATGTTTCCTGTATGATAAAAGTATGATATAATATTTCATTGATATGAATGTGATTGGATTTAGTTTTTTTAGCGGTCAAATAAATCAATTAGAGTAAGATTTCATGCATTTCTTCTGACACAGATTATGAGGAGTAAAACAGCTGTCTCAAATAATTTGTATTATTTATGCTTGGGATTGATTTTTCTATGTCTGAAAATGTATGTCAGTGATCCGCTGATTAGCAAACTAACAAAGTTAATACAAAGAGTGAAGTCCATTGATTTGTGTGAAATTAATTGTGAATTCTCTTAAGCCCAAAACTGAGCAAAAGGTGTCAATAAATCTCAGCTAGTAATTTATAGCCACCACAGGGGGTGATGGTTCACCTAAAGAGGTTTATTTATATTGCTGTTTAAGTAAGAGAGAGAGAGAGAGAGAGAGAGAGAGAGAGAGAGAGAGAGAGAGAGAGAGAGAGAGAGAGAGAGAGAGAGAGAGAGAGAGAGAGAGAGAGAGAGAGAGAGAGAGAGAGAAGCTAAATTTAGGTTAATATAGTATGAATGCGTATTAGGTGAAAAAAGATCATAGCTAGCTCTGTTGAATTTATATAGGCCATATTTGACGCTAACGAGAGTGACACTATTGGTTGATTATAGGAGAAGAAAAAACCTGACACTTATTTAGGTTGGTATTATCCTTTGTAGTTTAAAGGAAACAGGTCGATACTTTTATTGCACAGTGGGAAATGAGCACAGCCTGAATCCATGACGTTGATAACATGAAAATGTAAGTAAAGAGCGATACAAAGAAAGAAATAGGGAAATACTGACTAATCACCCGTAATGATTTTGGAAAAAACCGCCAGCAATCTGGGTTCGATCAGCCACTCCATCAAACTCAAAATCAACATCTCTCATAGTAACAGCTAATTAAATTTGGCATAATTTTGTAACTTCATTTTGAGAGAAAATGAATCATTTAACATGTCATGTGCGATTTAATTTATTGCACTTTACATACATGGGCCCGTTTTATTGTATTATATATTCTGCTCAGATCTCTATGATTCCATTCCTTAATTTCATATTTATGTTATGAATGACTCTATTTGAGAAATAATACCATGATCAATCATTTATAGATAACGAAATCAAAAAGCCTTGCTGAATGGGGGATATCACACATCTCGTTACATTTTGTTTAAAGAAAATTTTCATTCGAAAAAAATTAGACAATTTGGTTATCGGAAACTATTGCTTGATGTATCTATCAGACTTATAAAACGCCTTAGTTTAGATATATAAGTTTTTACATTGAATACTACTTCAGAATATATATATATATATATATATATATATATATATATATATATATATATATATATATATATATATATATATATATATATATATATATATATATATATTGTTACAAGCCAGGGGTCTTTGCTTTGTATATACCATGATTAAAAATTTGACGTATATGGAATACCAGTACACTTTACAAAATGTATTGTTAGATTAATATGCTTAGGTTATGGACAAAGCAGCTTCTAAAAAAAGAACGAATACAAAGTGTGCTTATGCTGTGAAACCTGTGAAAAATATACAAAGTAATCTGTAGGCTGACACCAAAATGCAGCGTGGATATTGATTCAATAAATATCTTTTTTAACTCTGTATTATTTTGATAAATGAATTTAAATTTTATCTCTGACATGTATTAATGAAGGAAGCTGATAAAAATGTCAAACACGAAGATATGTTAATTTTATTCGTCCTGAACGATTTTTTTAACGGTTACACTGATGGATGGCGCCATTATGCTGGAAACAGATCAGAATCATCAAATGTAAAATAGCATGAATGGAAAGAAATATGTCTGCAACAAACAGATTAAAGATTATTCTATAGATAGACATAATGCAGAGAGAGAGAGAGAGAGAGAGAGAGAGAGAGAGAGAGAGAGAGAGAGAGAGAGAGAGAGAGAGAGAGAGAGAGAGAGAGAGAGAGAGAGATCAGTTGCAATGTTTGAAACGATTTGTGTGATTTTGAGAGTGCTGTGATGCACAAAGGAAACCCCTAATATTACTGCGTATCAGATTATATATCCTGGGCAGAACCGATCCGATGGCCTAGTGGTTAGAGCGTCCGCCTCAGATGCGGGAGGTCGTGGGTTCGAACCCTGATTGATGGTGCTAACAACTGCCTCGCTTGACGCTCATTATTAAAAGGTTAATGTTAGGACTGGTCGGCTTGGTGTCAAGATAATGTGACTGGGTGGGACATCATGCTTCATTTCGGAGGCATGATGCCCCAGTGCTAGACATCCTTATAAACTACCATACTGCAAACATTGTAGCGATATGAATAAAACTTTTTTAAAGCTACGTTTAAAATCATAATCCCATCAGTCACATATCCTGGGCAGAACAACATCTAGACACATTTCACTAGGGTTTATTATATACATCAATGCAGACCAATCGTCTAAAGAGGTACTCATTGCAGTCACATGATGTAGGTAAAGGTTGTAAACTTTGTCGACAAGTTAAAAAGGTAATCCAATACAGTTTGCAGTATGTGATGAAGCGTATACTAACTTAAAAAATCCCTTCTGTAATAAAATGACTCGGACAAAGAAGGAACATCATCATAATCTTTAAAACAGTTTGTATAGATATCGCATATAATAGGTGTAATTTAAACTTGAAATATCCAAACTTCATTTATTCTTCATTCATAATTCATCCTGTTACAATTCAGGCCTGTTTATGCAGACGTTGGTAAATCAGCATGAACAAAATGAATTGAAAATCTTGAGAGAGATATAATTAATTTAGCAAATGACTATATAGCAGATTGGATGACTCGATAGTTGAAGCTGGAAAAAGTTCCTGAAAAAAGAATGATTATATTGTCTAATAACGTTTTGGCTATTAATTCGAACAATCATATGTTCCTTGAGAAAATTAAACATTTGGTGACATATTTTCGTATGCCGATGTACTAGTTTAAGTTTGTTCTGTATCTGAAATGAAACCTAAATTTCCTAGAAAGGACGTCTACCAATAAAAATACAGTAATAATTTCGATATTTTCGCTAAAATACCTGTACCACCCGATGAAAGATTGTACTCATCACTTCAGAATTAATTGGTTAAAAATATGATTGTAATCAACGCTACGGGGATGATAAGTTAAAACCATGACTACCAGGTCTAACTAACTACTTTGTTATGAAACACTGATGTCTAACTAACTACTGTGTCATGAAACACTGATGTCTAACTATTGTGTTGCGAAACACTTTGAGGTCTAAATATTGTGCTACGAAATAATGTTGGAAGAATGTATGACTGCATACAAAGCAAACAACAAACCCATCATGCTATTACAGCTTACGATGCCAGTCTAAAAGGATGAGTTAGAACCTTTAGCAGACTGAGACACGATATTTTAATAATTAAAAATGGATTTCGTGGCGGAATTATATAACGTTTGACAAACTACGACATGATTTTAAAAATGATAAAAATTTGAGATCGCGGCGCTATTTGGTGTAATAATGGGCAGTCACGCCAATGAAATGGCAAATTATACTACGGAGAGTACAAAACCCAAATAATATAATTGAAGCCTAGCCACCATGATTGTCTGGAAATTAGACAGCACGTGCCGGTAAAGTGTTAAATGGACCAATGATAAACAAATTAGGTAGATAAAGAGAAAATATGCCCGTAGTACCCGTTAACAGTTATACAGGTTGCACATCACACGTAAAATGTTAGTTTCTTGTCCGTCTCTATGTACCTTCATAAAAAAATAGAAAATCTTAATTTGTTAGTTGACTGTCAGCTTAGACGCTTTGATATGACAAGTATCCCAATTCTCATCATTAAGTTCTCCAAACATGGGAATTATCAAAATTACTACCTCGACGAAGGCTCATACATAAATAATTATAATTTTTATAACGGAACTAAAATTAGAACGTTATTGTTAAAAGGCCTATCCAAATGTGTAAGGCTAATATAATAAAATTTTGAACATGTATTCACTGTTTACAAATAGAGAATGGAAAACGAGAGAGTATGCCCAGATATGAGAGATTGGATGCAGAACTGTGTTGGAGATAAATTGAATTATCTCCTTGAATGTAGCTATTTCAGAGAACAAAGAAAGCAACTACTACCCAAACACTTTTATAACAGACCAAATGTACCAAAATTTAAAATTAATGTGTTTTGAAAAACTTGGTATTTGAAGAAATCTTTCTAAATTGACAGATATTATTGTATTAAACTTTTAACCAACTTCGCTCGAAGTGTTTATTGCTCCTCCATTTTCTCTGCTTTATAATAATTCTTTCATTGCTTTAAAATATGTCTTTTAGGAAGAGAAAAGTACTATAGATTCATTATTGTAAAGGTTTTGCTATAGGTTAGTTTGTTGTCCATATTTAGGAGTTTGCAACCTGTCTTCCCAAGTATACAAATGTCCATATAATTAACTTTCAATTATGATCTTATTCCATTGAAGTAATGACTGTAATAATGTTATAATACTGTCTGTCTAAGCTATATTGCAGTTGCTGTAAGAAAACAAAATAGTCCATGGCTGTTATACACACGCTGTTGTACACACATGCAAAATGAGATACTGATTTTTTTACTCAAATTTTGTGTATAGTAACCTGAGTGTAATAAAGAATTTGTCTTGTCTTCTCTTGTTGTTATTTTAATGACTATCTGTTAGCTCAGTAGGATTTAATTCTAGACACAAAAAAAATCACTGATTATTACAAGAATACAAAAGTGTAACCAAAGCTATTGTATGCATTTAAGAATAAAATCAAATGTGTAATTAGTATATAATTGTTTTAATTGTACGTGCAATTGGGTTTTGAAAGTGAAAATGACGCACATAAGATTGGTTAACAACTGTTGCTCAAATCATATATTCAACTGAACGTGAGTTTGACACCACAAACGCTTTAAGCGATTCTTGAAATTAACGAATAACCCTAGAATCAAGCGAAACATTTGGAACAAATTTAAAGAAACAAATAAGAAGTATTTACATATAAAAGTAAATATTCTATATGCCTATAACATACACCATTCGCCAACAAAGACCTAACATGAAGATTTGGTGCGATGCAGTCTGAACAAAACGATCAAATTAACCAAACCCATTCAACTACATTCATTCTTAAGACAGTCCAAGCGGAGACGTTGTGTGCAATGAACCTTTTTTGCGAACAAACTCATCCATGTTTGATAGTGAAAAATACATTTCCACCTCATGTTAACAATACGATCACAGTTCAGGCCGACATTGTATTCATTGAGAATTCATTAGAAAACCGAAGCTACAGAAAAATAAATCCAGAGCAGATAAAACAAGTATGTGCGTCAAAGAAGGAAATCTTTGAGTCCAGTCGCTCAACAGAAAGAACTACTATATAGAGGGCACACAAAGACATGCAATGCACAAACTCAAACAACAACGAGACTCGGATTAATTGAAAACAAGGTCTGTTCTGCTTTATGGGGTACAACATCAAAATCCCGGGATGATAATAATAAATCAGATGATGGTGAATTAAAACTCGGCAGAACTGCATTTTTGCATTTCCAGAAGACAGCATTGCCTCAGATGTACATTTAAAAAACGAGAAAACCTTTACTAAAGTCGCAAGTTCTTTGATTAACAACAACCTTTGTATGACTGCATTCATACATTAAACATCGCACACAAATCCAAATCAACGACTTGCTAAGACGTTTACCAATGTCCAATCAACATACAAGTTTCAAAGAAGGCGTGGAACTGTTATCCTAAGAGAGGCAGCGTATATAAATTTTCAGTGCGTCATATTTGCATATTCACGACTAGGCATGCCCCTAAAGCGAAGGAATCGGACATTTCTTTGCATATTGAGCTTGACTGGAGTTAGAATTGAGTTATTTGAATTCGTCATACTCCAGAAATGTGAAGTCACAATCTCCGATAATTAGTTCCGTTTCAAAAAGCAACATTCAACAAATTTATGCCTCTAATCTTTTAAGAAAAAAATCATCTATTATGTAAAACATGGCAGTTTAGTGTTTGCATGCAATTTGGACGCAAACAAGGCATTTGAAAGCTTTAGCCATTAGACACTCTTTTAAAGAGTTGCTTTGATATTCAAATACCCTCGACATAGTTCATACTTTGGTTAACCGGAATGGCAAACAGTTTTATTATATGAGCTAGGTGAGTGTACTATCCAGCTTTTTCCATGTAACCATTCGGAAAGGCAGGGAGATGTTCATTCCGATTTGTTATTTAACATATACATAAACGAGTTAAATCGTAAGCTGGGTCAGTATCAGGGAAATTGTGAACGATATTTGAACAATACGTATTAAAGAATTGTATCATCAATAATTTCCCAAAAATGGTAAGCACGGTGATTCAATCAACTTCTTTCAAGTCATCATTTCATCTCCCTGTATATCACACTCTTACGTATGTCAAGTCATACGTATTTGGGTCATCTTAAAATTCAATTGGTCAGATAATGAAGATGAGATGAAACATTACAGAATTTTGTGTACTCGAGCAAACATGCAGAAGTATAGAAAGTTGATGATCCTCTTCGAGACATCCTACTCCCAAAACATGGTACGTTAACATTTTTGTTAGAAGCTGTTTTAGCTCAAAATAATGACTTTGACATGATTGACAAAAATGTTTTGTCGGGGTAGGGGTGTCTCTTAGATAGGATCAGCTTAACTCTACTACTATGGCAGTCTGTTATACTTATTGGCTCAAATAGTATTGGGCTTTTTTAGACAAAATGTCATAGTAAACAAAGGAAATGTTATATATATATATATATATATATATATATATATATATATATATATATATATATATATATATATATATATATATATATATATATATATATATATATATATATATATATATATATATATATATATATATATATAATTCTCAACCCGAAATTGGATTTGATTTCACAAAAATATTTTGCAAGTAATTTAATGCCATCAAACAAGCGTCAGTTTGTACTGGTATAAAATTTTAAATAATAAGCGATTGTATTAAAAAAAGTTGGTTATCGTATATCACCAAAATATCGTCGGTATGGTCATTCGCGACTGAAAATGATATGAGATTAGC